TCTCTGGGCATTTGTTGCCCTGGAAAGCCTTTCCAGGAATTACAGTCTACACATTCATTAGTGCTAGAGTATGGTGTGTACATCAGGGCTTTTCAACTAAGTTTACTTAGGGGCCAACATTTTTAAAATGGGGATCGTCATGGGCCAGAGGGGTAAGCATCGGCATACAAAGATCTTTACTACAATACAACCGGTAATGATCCATAGGCCACTTGCTAGGTCTCAGCGGGCCAAATTTTGCCCGCTGACCACTAGTTGAATAACGCTGGTGTGCATGGTCATTAGTGGTGTTACAGTATACAGGGCCACTGGTATTCTATTACAGTGTACAATAAAAGACTATGAACATGACTTCCTTACTGATATATCCCAAATCCCATACTGTGTTGATTGTTGAATTAAGAATTGACATCACCGCACTCGGGACTCTCCCATAAGTGCTCAGTCCCTACCTTCAGCAGCAAGCGAAGAGTTCCAATTCCGATGGTACCAGTTGCCCATACTGCGTAAAAATATTATGTGCCAAGACCAGCAACTACAGACGCACAAACATCACTTCTTCAAACCTGTGTGCATGTGCATGAGAGGTGAGGAACCAACAGTCTGAATATAAATAAGCCAGATTTGTAAAACGGATGTGTATTAAAAATTTAAGTTATGGAACCAAACTAAAGTCTAGAACTGAGCGAACAACCAGACCTTTCTGTTGGAGTTTACAGCCAGTAAACACAAAAAAGATGACAAACCCAACTCCTCTAAGCAGAAAAGATGAGTCATCATCACTTGCGATGGACAAATAACCAAATAATATATAATGGTCACTCATACTTTGTTATACATAATTTCTTGTCTGCCAGTGTTGTGGTCAGGTACACCAAATCCGTACCTGTAGTTCTCCCAGAGGAGACAAAACTTTAATGATCGACAGTCTCTGACACTGAACATGTCACTAAAGGAGACACATGTCCTCAAAATGTAACTATAAACTAAAGAAAAGTCACTGAATCCAAAACAGTCAAGGATGCCTCTCCAGTAATGTTACTTAGCTGAGTTGAGTTGAGTCAAGAACTGACATCACAGCACTCGGGGCATTCCCATGCATGCTCCGTCCTCATCATCAGCAGCCAGCGCAGAGTTCCAATACTGATGTTACTTAGGTAAAATTGCTGTCTTGAAAAGGAAAGCCAGAGCCTATTTTTCAGCTCTGAACAATTGACGAGCTAATTGAATGGTGAAGAATGCATATTCAATCTGTAGCCCTAGACATTACCATTTCTTGCCAGCTTTATCCCTACACCCCTTGCCAGCTGTATCCCTACATTCCTTTGTCAGCTGTATCCCTAAACCCTACATCCTCTGCCAGCTGTATCCCTACATCCCTTGCCAGCTGTATGCCTGGACCCTACATCCATTGCCAGCTGTATCCCTACATCCCTTGCCAGCTGTATGCCTGGACCCTACATCCCCTTGCCAGCTGTATGCCTGGACCCTACATCCCCTTGCCAGCTGTATCCCTAAACCCTACAACCCCTGTCAGCTGTCTCCATGACCCCTACATCCCAAGCCAGCTATATCCTTGTACCCTACATCCCTCACTAACCTGACCTCTGAGGAACTATCCTGAGGAAGTGTTAAACTAGGCCTAAAACCTGAAGATAGAACCAAGCTTATGACCACTCCAGCTCACTAGGATGTGGGATGTCAGAGCGGCCACAGGTAACACCTAGACCATGTAAAGCCAGACACTACATACACAACAATTAAACAAGCAGAGAACAATTTTTAGGTTAACTGCAATCTACACCAAACAATAATACACCAGGCTGCTTGTGACAACTATGTTTCTGGGTGAGTTAAATACAATATACAACCTAGCACTGGAGAAAATACACAAAACAAACACAGACAACTGAAAAATAAAAAGAAGGAAAAACTTCACCACATTATATGCTTAGCCAGATAATGTGGGTATCATCTCCTGATCAGGTCCTTCTAAGCCCAGAAGACAGAGCTGGTAAAACCACCTGTAATAACACTAACACACAAACAAACAAACACACACAAAAACACACAAACAAACAAAAACAAACGCATGCGAGCGCACACACACACACGCACGAGAGAGAGAGAGAGCGCGCGCTACATTATTGGGTAAAATAAACTTCAGTGAACTCGTGCCTAGATCGCTGTATGTTTGAACATACTAAGCATGGCAGACTGGAACTGCAGACCTTACACTTCCTGGAGCCAGTGTTGCCAGATAGGGCTACAAGTGGTCAAATCTATTTGTTCATAAATTAGTCACGCAGCCCACACAACTTGCTTTGACAACAGATAGAAAACTGATATCTGTTTGAATGAAAATAGTGTTAACTGTTAACAAATATAAATTCGATCTATGACCAATTCAACTGAAGGCCTCTTAGCTGGAATGGAGCTCGGTCATAAGTCAAGAAAACCCATATTTAACTTGAAAAGAAAAAACAAACAACCAATGCCGACCGAGAAGTATAACTAGTCAACATCCCAATAAAACAATCACGAATGAAAACAATGAACATGGTGGCAAGAAGACGTTACCTGCATACAACTACATAAAATAACATGGCTTTTTAAAGAAAGCAGTCGACATCGGTTGAAATATCCATTAATGCTTGATAAATAAAGGCTAGCTGACACCAGCCTCTCTGAACAAGCTCTCATTGTGGAGAGACAATTGGAAGTTAACCAGGAAGACAAGACAGGCAAATGTTGAGAGGTTACTTTCAGGGAAAGTGATCTGGAAAAAACATGCAACTGTGCTGAACACTGAGGCCATGCGGAGATACAGAGCCCAGCTGAAACAGATGATTTTCCACAGACCCTAATATTTAACTAGTATACCACACTAACACTTTAGGACTAAGTCTGCATTCCTCGACAACCTGCAGCTTGAAAAGCCATAATCAGCTGTATCTTCAGGTTTTATGTCCTGGTCTGATACATCTTCATGACCAGCTCAAACCAAAGTCAGGCTGCCTAGGTAGCAGAGTGGCAGGTTAGTTTTGCATTCTTCACCATCAATGGAAGCTATTCAATGGCAGAGAAAAATCAATGTTCTAGCTCTGACCTCTTCCCCAAAATCCTCACATTCTACACATGGGCAATTAGCAACTCTTACCAACAGTAATGCATGTTTAAGCATTGGAATGAAAACTGGGCTGGCTGCTGAAGATGGAGATGCAGTGCTTATGGGAATGCCCTGAGTGCTGTGATATCAGTTCTTAAACCAACTCAACTCAACGCATGTTTTTTAAAGTACAATTAAAAAAAAATACTGTAAATAAAACATCACTATGAACCTGTTAAAGAACGCTTGGCTTAACTAACATGAGCAAAATTTGGGATTCAGCTTCTCTTTTTTCTTAGTGTTCGCTGGCTGTAAACTTTGGCAGAAAGTTCTTGTTGTTCGTCCACTTTTGGACTTTGGTCTTGTTCCAGAACTTGAGTCTGTGTGCACATTTGTTTTACAGATCCGGCTTACATGTATGCAGACTGTTGGTTCTTTCCCTCTCAGGCAGATGCACTCCGACTTTGAAGGAAACGCCCGTATTAGTCCCAGTAGAGATGATATTATTGTCACTAGTGTCACTAGCACCCAGTTAGCATGAATTTCCATGAACTTGATTTTCTGACCCCTGGAATTCATGTTAACAAAGTCTGAAGTATATTAAGATCACATAGAGAAACAGCAGATATATGCACTGATCTCACAAGAACCTCAGACATTGAGGCAGATTTTTGCAGACTGATCTGAGCTCCCATGTGGACCTAATTTTACTAGGGAACAAAAGGAGGAAAAGTTCTGGGAAGTGAATGCGGCCAATATGATGTTGGCCACATCACCCTCTTAATGCTGATTCATCAACAACAAAAATCTGGAGCTAGCATCATATGCCTGAATCATTTTACAGCCAGATGTTGAGGGTAAGAGTTAGCAAATGATTCATTAATTACGCAATAGTTATCATATTACATTACTTTAGTGATATGGATACTTATGTAACCTTTAAGGATACAATGTGAATAAAACTGCCAACTACTGTCTGTATTAACAACTTATGTGACAATAAAACTGCCAACTACTGTCTGTATTAACAACTTTTGTGTGGCAATAAAACTGCCAACTACTGTCTGTATTAACAACTTTTGTGTGGCGTAGGCAGGCTGGTACTCTGAGCCTGATTATTTAAAACCACAGGGCTTATGCTGTCGCCAGGCACTGTGGAAGTGTGGGTTATATTTGTGCCCCTACAGAAAAAATCCACAACCTTATGGAGCCAGGTGTTAGACTTGCAAATCTTCAAAATGGGACAATAAATGTATGAAATATATATGTTACACAATTTGAGGGAGAAAAAAAAAACTACAGCTGTCTAATACCAAAACACACACACACAAATTCATCACGTTCAAATGTTACCAACACTCTACTATAACTTTGCTCTAGATTCTTGAAATCTGACTACAAAATATAATGGGATAGCCTGGACTTTTGCGTATAACACTGTTTTTAAATAAAACACTTTGCTTGCAGTATGAAAAACTGTGGCTAACACCCAAAAAAGGCGCTGCATTAGACCTTTATTATTGTACCGTTGCAATTCTGCTGCACTCTTGAAATAGGACAAGTTATAAATAATACTGCAAAGAACTTTTTCTTTGAAGGAAGCTGTAAATTAGAAAAACTTGTACAACCGTTTTGGGACTTTGTTTGGGACAGCCTTTTTGGGTATATTCTTGTTTACTGGCTTGTTTGTGGGGTCCCGTTCTTTCACACTTAGGCTGGCATTTAACTTTGAAGAAGCTCCCAATTGTCATGTCCTACAATAGCTTGTTTGGGAGGCACTGGGTCTATACTAGAGCAGGCTCCTGAAACCACATGGCGACCCATAGAGAACAAATTTTTTATCAACACCAAAAATAGCTTCAGCGCCCTAGAAAAAAGATATTCAGGTTATCTATATGGGCGGGATATTGGACGTGTCCACAAGAATCTTGATGAACAGCATGTCATCCTTCACATAATGATTGTTTGGGTTGTCCAGGACAGTGTGGGCTACAAACAGGGGACAGCCACTCGCAACGTTCATCTCGGCATTCACTGGTCGGCGAAAGCTGGTACTGGCTGGATCCGGGAAGAATTCATCTTTCAGGTGTCGCTTGTCAGGTGACTGATCCAGCAGGATTAGGCTCACCTGAAATACAATAATAATAATTATTATTATAACTTATTTTAAAATGTCCATCTATGGAAAACTCTTGATACACTCAGGTTCTGGAGCAGGACTGCAGTTCAGAAGTGGACGAACAACCAGAACTTCCTGCCAGAGTGTACAGCTGGTGAATGCTAAGAAGAAGAAGATATCAATGTAGACTTAACCAAGAATGGCATTTAACTTCACTATAAAGTAAAAGTACAGGACCCTTTTCCATGCCCTTAGCTGGACTGGAATATAGCGTTAGACTTATATTTTTAGACGAGTCAGAACTCTGTGGGTGATGTGGTCAGCATCATGCGGTCACCTGCACTTCCCAGGACTTTATCGGGTACTCATTTAAGGTTTAGTTGACCTGGGCAGTCAGGCAAGCCTGCTAGATGCTGCGTCATTACAGCACCAAGTAGCTAAAATAAATTGTTTTCATAATTTTTGTAAAATAAAAATCCACTTTCTAGTAAGGGATGTAATCATTAAACATGAACAAAGCCCATAACTAACTGGTTTTACTTCCTTTGACCATGATAACAGAGGTTTTATTGACACAGCTATAAGGAAACAAAATGACATCATCATTTTAAGTTTATTATGTCACAATGACAAAAAAAAAATATAAACAGCTAACAATTTTTTTTGTGTGTTTAAAACATAAAAAAATCATATCCACCATCTTTCCTGTGTAGGTTCTGGAGCCAATTGGGGGAAAACAAGAATACACTTTGACGTCAGAGTGCATTTGCTCACGTGGCAAGGAACAACCAACTGCACACAATAAGCCAGTAAAGCCAATGTAAGGCACAACGCAGGCCCTGGTACAAAGACCAAATAGATGAATAACCAGGACTTTCCGCTGACAAAGAAGAAGAAGAAGATATCCACCATCTACACAGTATGCAGTTGCAGCCAGTATCAAAGCTGTTATATAGGTGTAGTGGCCACTGTCTGAAGATGATGTATTGTTAGAAAGCCAGATAACTAGCTTTCCTAGGGCAAACGGGTTAGGACGAGAACAAAATAAACTGCAGAGAATCAAGAAGGAAAAGATGTGGCTGAGAAAACATAATAATAACTAGAGAGATTCAGTGATGTGACTCAACTTACTTGGAGCAGAAGAATATGTGTATCCCTATGCTAATGGTCCAGATCAATTCAGCCTAAAATGGGCACCAGGTAACGTCCTGGGAATACATTACAAGTTGTTCGGTCTACAACAGGGCTATTCAACTGGCGGCCTGCAGGCCCATTCTGGCTCGCACAGGTCTAGCAAGTGGCTCGCGTATCATTGCCAACTGTAATTCATTAGTGATATTTCTATCCCGGGGGCTCGGGCCTTTGGCCCACGACCATCCCATTTTCAACATTTTGCCCCCCCCCCCTTCCGAGTAAACTTAACTGAATAGCCCTGGTCTACAAAAGTGCTAGACCTATTTTTTTTAGACCAATCAGCACTCGGTGAGTGATGTGGTTAACATCACTCTGGCCGCATGTACTTAAAATGGTTGAGGGTTTATGCTTCCATGAGGAATAAAGGGCAAAAAAAGAGGATTATAATCAACTACATAATACAAACAGTAGATGAGGAAATAGCTTCTTCTTCTTCGCATTCACCGGCTGTAAACTCCACCGGTGAACTTTAGTCTTGTTCCAGAACCTGAGTGTTGTGTGCACATCAGTTTCTCAGATATGACTTAGCATCCTAAACAAAGATGGAAAAATATAATTTTGAATGCAGACTGCTGGATCCTTGCCTCTCTCATCTTGGCACGTCTGAAAGTTTCAGAAAATAAGTTTTATGTGCACATCTGTTTTACTAATGCTTACTTGCATGCAGACTGTTGGTTCTAACCTTCAAGGGGATGCACTCTGACAGTGAAGGAAGACTGGTCTACACATGTCAAGAGCTTGAGAATATTTGCCGTTATTTTTACTCAAGGTCACCTTGTCACATTTACATTTATCATGGGAAACTACTGTAACTCTCTTGCAAACCAGTCTCCAACCAGGAAAAAAAAAGGGGGGGGGGGGGGGGGGGGTGCAAGGAGATTTCAGTTGGGGGGGGGTGTGGTGCAAGGAGATTTCAAGGGGGGGGGGGGGGTGCAGGGAGAGGGGCTTCAATGAGGTTTCAGGGGGGGGGGGGGGTGCAAGAAGGTTTTTAAGAAAGGGGAGGCATCAAGTAATTTTGAAAGTGAGTGCATTTGTATTTGTTATAATCCAGTATGTTTAAATTTTTTTAAGTTTAATTATAAATTTTAAAAAAAATTTGTTAAAACTATTTATTAAACAAAATGACATGGAAATTTTTGTTTTCAATAGAGTTGTGTACCTCCACCTTTAAAAATAGAATTATTTTGATACACACATTTAATTTTAGATTAGTAACACATTCTGATCAAAAGGTATCTCCATAGTTCCTGTTTCTCTTGTTGCGGAATTTGTTGTCGTCCTCTTTTCAATCACATTTGTTATGTTGGGGTGGGTGGTGTCTGGGGGGGGGGGGGGGGGGGGGGGGGCCTTATCATAAACCCAAATGGGGGATGGAAGATGGGTGTCTAGCCATATACACAATGGAAGGTTAGGCGGGGGTTTTGCCATATATTCAGGGGGGTGGGGGTGGGGGTGAAGATAAGAAACTAAAGTTTGACTTGTGTGATTAAGTGGGAAGGGACTACATTTAACATATGCTGACTGCTTGAGAAACCTTATTGTTGTTTGGACTTAATACTCCTGTCCCAGGCAAACTGCATCCTTTAAATGAAAAAAATTATTTTATGGAAATTCATTCACTTAACACAATGCTAAAAAAAAAAAAACATACCCTTTTCCTGTGACTAAAGTCCCGGATTTTCCAGAGCAGTTTCCCATCATAACTGGCTGTCTCAATCATCTGGAACCGAAGATCCATCTCTGCCATGCGAATCTCATGGCTTGCTACTTGTCTATCGTGACTTGCCACTTGAGGAATTAGAGCCTCTGAGAATGTAGTAGAATCAAGTTACCTTCGGCCCTTTCACCTACTCCTTTTCTAAAGCGTAAAGTAAAGGACCCTTCTCCCTGCCTTAGGTCATATTGGGCATACAGTGATGGACCTATATTTTATAGACAATCAGCACTCGGTGGGTGATGTGTTAAACATCACGCCAGCCACCTTTACTTTCCAGGACTTTACCTGGTAATTAAAGGTTCGGTTGACATGTGAGCCAAGGTCATTTATAAAATAAAAAAAAGTATGGCTTTGACAGGACTTGAACCTTGGATCTTGTGATCAGCATTCAAACGCCTAGCTGCTACAACACACAGCTACATGTTTATTTAGCTATATATATATATATATATATATACTATATATACACACACACACACACACACAAATGTGGTATGTGAAATAAATAAATTTACACAAAACACACACACCACACGCCTATATACGTGGTACTATTTATACAACGAATATATACAAAAGCATATGTACTCACGATTAAGCAAACATACATACATACATGCTGAGTTAGACAGACAAGTTGTTGGCAGATGTTTGGTGTCTAGAAAGACAAACTGAAAGTTAGACAAACATTTAGACAGACAGACGCAACAATAGAGTTAAAAAGAACCCCCGCCCCCTAAAGCTAGTGTTGAAGGAACTTACTCAGCTGCTCAATGCTCTGTCTTGTGTGCTGTGCCTCCTCCGTAACTGTTGCCAGCTGTTGCACGTGCTCTTCCACCTTCTGCTCGGCAATAATCAAGCGCTCTACCTGCTGCACCATCTTCAACTGAAAGACAAGACACAGCCAATCAATCACAGACACACACTAACACATACAGTTAATGCTACTGGATGAGTTGGCATCTGCGAAAATGTTTCTGTGGTTAGGATGTGAATATATTAGCTAAAAATAGCATACACAGGAGTTTTCTTTCATGTTTTTTAAAAGTTAAGTTGGCGTCAAATTTAACCAGAAAGTTTCATACTAGAGGTTAAGGGGTCAAGGCTTAAGTCACCCAAAAAAATATATATTTAGGCCTAGAGAATGTAACTGCTAACACCAAGAATGGAATTCAGTGGACCCCTACAAAACAGCTTGATGATCTGGACTTCGCTGATGATATTGCTCTTCTGTCCCATTCACAGAATCAGATGCAAGATAAATTAAATATACTTAATGCGAGATCAAAGCAGCTTGGTCTGAAAATCCATAAAGGAAAGACAAAGATAATGAGAATAAATCAGGCAAATAGTAATGTGGTTTCTCTTAATGGCACCCCACTCCAAGACGTGGAGTCGTACACCTATTTAGGCAGTAATGTAGATAAAGATGGAGGAACTGATAGATATTAAAATAAGAATACAAAAGGCAAGAGGGGCTTTCATAGCACTAGGGAATTTGTGGAGGTCAAAAGAAATTAAAAGAAATACTAAACTAAAATTTTTAAATTCTAATGTCAAATCAGTACTATTGTATGGGGCGGAAACATGGAGAACCACCAAGGCAATTACTAATAAATTACAGACATTCATTAACTGGTGCCTGTGCAGAATAGAGGGAATAAAATGGTATGATAGAATAACTAATGTAGAACTTAGGGAGAGAACTAAACAGGCTCCAGTGGATCAGGAAGTGAGGAAAAGACGCTGGCGTTGGATAGGGCACACACTGAGAAAACAGGAGAACAGCATTACTAGAATGTCTTTGCATTGGAACCCACAGGGGCATAGGAATAAAGGAAGGCCAAAAAACACAAGGAGAAGAGAGCTGGAGAACGAGGTTAGAAAGATTGGGAGGACATGGGGAGAGCTCCATGCAATGGCGAAGGATAGAACGACTTGGCGTGAGTTGGTTGAGGGCCTATGCTCCATTGGGGGATAGAAAGGCAGAAGAAGAAGAAGAGAATGTATTCCAATCGATTCTAAACTCTGTTCATGTTTACTGATAACTCCCTTTACATATCTTTGAAAGTTTCTTTCATTCACACATTTTTTTGGGAGTTTAAATTTAGTTGTGACTCCTGTAAAATTGCTGCTTTTAAAGGATTTTATGAGAATTCCCATGGGATCACAACTTTTTTTTCTAGCATTACCAGGGCCACATCGCTCGTGGCTGGCAAAATCCTGATGCCACCGAAACAAACAAATTGTTATCTACCAACAGTATACCAGGTGGAGATATCAGACACTCCTGGACTGGAAGCTATGGCTTTCAATTTTCATGCTGTCTGGTGTGTCCCCCTGCCTCCACATCTTTGTTCATCATCTTTGAGTTCCCATCGGTACCTTACAGTTTGTTCAATCATGCAAGTTAATGTATGAAATGTCCGAGGAGATGAATTATAAGGATAGAATCGGGACAATTAAAGTAAATGGCTGTAGCAGAAAGTGTCTAAGTATTTATTTTCAAGCTGACTGCTTTTGACTTCATATAGACATTAACACTGTAACTTTATAGAAATTAACTGTTTTATTAATTAACAACTAGAGAAAAAGTATTAACATCGATAAAGGGCGGTGCGTTTTCATTAATTTAATTATTTTCATAAGTCTGCTTCAAAGCTGAATCGGCAGCAATTTGAGTTTTAAAAACAAAAATGTATGTTACTCATTTTTACAGTGACGTTCCGCATGAATCACTGTTTTTACAAGTAAGTTAACTGCTTATTCTTTACAGGACGTGTGGAACCAGCCCCAGCATTTGCTGACTATTTACGTTTTACCAGGCAATTTCATGTTCAGCGGTAATTGCAAGTGAGTACAATATGCAACCACAATCCCAACTGAAGTGAAACTAGATTAAAGACACCTCCTGCCAATGGGAAACAAGCCACAAGACAGCACTCAACAGAAGATGCCACTGAAGTCCTTATCAGGATTAAGCCTTTATGAGGGTTGTGCCAAAAGAAGCAGCAGAAGCACACCCCCAACGCCGGAGACAAAGAAGAAGCACACACCTGAGAACCTAGCCAGACACCGATAGCGAATCTGGAAAAAAACACCTGTCGGAAGACGAGCCGCATCAACTGCAACCTTAAAGCAGATTTTAAAAAAAAGGGAACTACATCAAACACCCTAATTATAACCTTCAAACTCAGGCTGAACAGGGTTAATTTATAGGGAAAAAAAAACTAGGTAAAATATAAGGCCCTTATGAGTATTTTTTTTCAAGATTAATAACGCACATTTGCATGAATCACAATGGCTTACCTTCAATTCTCTATGAATGTTTTTCACAATATTATCAATTCTTTCTTGATTTCGCTTAGTTTCCTCAAAAAATCTTTTTAAATCCTGTTCAAAGTGTTTAGAAGACATCATGGTAAGAGTTGGCCAATAGATACAATTAACGGGTTACACCAAATTGTTCTGTCAGTACAAGTTGGTAATAATAAACAATAAATCTGGACACACACAGTGAAAAATGGAGGCGGAAGTTGAGGAAGAGGCAGAAGGAATTAAAGGTTTATATTATGGTGTAAATTCAAATTGGAACATATGTGAATTTGAAAGAAGCCACAAACAACAGACTACACAATTTACTGCCCGGTATATTTCACAGTGAGAGTCGCCGTGGCCGAGCGGCTAGACGCTCGCTGCGGATCGGAAGGTCGCGGGTTCGCTCCCTGGCGAAGCCGGTCTTTTTTAAAAAATTACCTTGGCTCTCAGGTTAACCCAGCCTCGAGTGGGTAAAGGGTGCAGTCCCGGGAAAGTAAAGGTGGACCGGCGTGATGCTGACCACATCACCCTCCTGTGCCGATTGGTCTATAAAAATATAGGTCTAGCCCTATATGCCTAAAGGCGTGGAAAAGGGTCTTTACCTACTTTTTACTATATTTCACAGTGTCTAGTCAGACACATGCTATAGTAACAAGTAAACAGATGAAACAAAAACACACAAAAAAAAATATTCAATTGGAATGTAAAAATCCACCACACTCAAATGTGTGTTACCAGGGTAAACAATATTCACAACCATGTCTTTGTGTCTGCACAAAGCTGGATAACCACGGGTGATCATGTGATGGATGTTTGTATTTCAACTGAAAGGCTTCGTTTATTTGCTTTATCTTTTTAGATTTTGAATGTAGTATACACCTGACAAGATGCAGTGAAACATGCCGGCAATAAATTGTGCAGTCATAGTTCTCTCAATTAGGTGAATTGACAGTCAAGTGAAAATAAATAATTGTAAGTTAAGAAACTATTACTGCTTCAGGTGTTGAGGGAGATATAAGGTTCTGTTTCTTGCTCTTCTGGCTGCCTTTATTAGGGACACATGGTTGTAAAGCTTCTTTGATGTTATCTTTCCATTTTTTCTTGGTCTACCTCATGTTCTATGTTTCTCTCCTCTTTCGGTGTATGCCTTGTATGGCAGTGGAAACTGCTACATTAATAAAAGTTACCTATGATTTATCATAATTAATAAATACCGAAAGAAGAGAATGTTTGACACACAAACAAATCCTCCTGGATCTGCCCACCTTCTCAGATCATTACTTCAGTTCTAATTTTATTCTATGCTTTCAATACAATTTTCCTACCATTCACTTTACACACTATCATACCTGAATGGAAGATCCCATCTGACGAAGAACCTTCTGTATATTTTATCCATGTCTTTGGAAGCCAGAAAACAAGTTAAGTTTCAGGATATTATATACGGTCCATACTACAGTACACCTATGAATCATGGACACTGAACAACAAGACTTGAAAAACACTGGAAGCCAGATGTAGTTTTTGTGCAGAATGCTAAGATTCCCATGGGCAGCCATAATTATCCAAGCACTGCAACAGGCCAATTCCCACAGATGTCTGATTATTGGCACAGCAAATTCAATCACAGAGATTCTCAGACAATCAACTGAGAGATGGGAGACGATGCGCAAGGTTTGCTGCTCCCATTACGCTGACTTCAGCCACGCTCATATTAACTTTCATTATTATGGCCTCTATGTGTCCCTGAGACTACAGTCAAAATGCACCCCCCCCCCCCCCATATACTTCAATGCCTGAGTTCTTTCTAACATTTCTCAGCACAAATTTACATCTGGTGTTGAGGAGTTGACAATACAGTTAATTAGACTGAACTAAATCACAGCTGTTCTTGTTGCGTAGACCAATCTTTCTGCTTCTCCACACCAGGCGGTTTACACTGTTTGAAGCATGGCTGAAGTTCTCCAGCAATCTATTCATCTTTGCCTTGATGATGTGATGCACCTAAATGTTGTTGGTATATGACAGTGTCCTCTATCATTCCATGATCTGTTCACCCATGATTCTCACAATGTAGGTGCTAAATAATACAGAAAATAATGGTGAACACAGTGTGGCGAGCCAGGATCTGCGTCTAGTTTAGAAGTCCAGCTGCCACATTCAAACTATGATTTGCTGGAGGAAACCCAGTAAAGGAAAAGGAATGTTTAGATTTAGAAAGTTCATAAAGCTGAATAATAATGGTATTCTACTGTGCAAAAGTCCAACTGCAGCAGCCCATGTTTTCATGCCTGAGTGGAACCTTAAAAGCTGGAATGTACTCTTCGTTCAGAAGTCCCACTGGCACACTTAAACATTGCCATTCATTGTAAGAAGGCTGCAGAGATGCAGTAAACGAGGTGTTGCTGGGTGGCCTGATCCAAATGTTGCTTGTAAGTGCCACCCAGCTGTGACTTTTAGAGGGCTATGATGTCTACCCTATACTTAGGGCTTTCAAAGATGGGTCTCTGTGTGACGATGAAACAATTCCAGTGCAGAATGCAAACACTCCAGAAGACTGAATGAGTGCATCCGACTTTCTTCTGGTCTTGGCAAACTTGCTCTTGACTTTTTCATTGACCACACTTAATTCTCAGGTTGCTAGCTGTTGGCTGACCCAGGCACCAAAGGCTGAGCTGCCATAATTAAAGCAATAAACAACTTCAAAACTGCCACACACTAAAGAACAACTAAAGGAGAGAAGGGTTTTAGTTCAGAGGCTTCACCGTGTGGGTTTCAAGGCCCTCATGACAATGAAAACAATACAATTTACTTGTACTACATCCACATCGGCTAAATACACAACATACTATAGAAGATAAATTGTTTTTAGAGAGCGTTAGTATGCCCAGACTTAAGGTCATACAAACATACATAAAATGTTCAGTGATGCATATGAGCAAATCCTGGTCACACACTTAGGGTTTTGGTATGGAAGGAAATGCCAAACACAGAAGCAGCAGCAGCTCAGATGCAACTACTGCAGCACTGGTAACATATCTTGAAATAACTGACCTTCTAGTTTACATAAGGATACAACTATCCTCATGCAAGAGTCTTTCCATCCATCTTTCTGGTGATTACAGTAACAAAAAACAACATGGCCCACAGTCATGTTTATATGGCGCAACTATCTTCATGCAAGAGATCCAACTATCCATTTTTCCGATGATAAGAGTGAGAAACACAAAATACACATAGCCCATAGTTGTGTTTAAGTGGAACTATCTGGCGTAGCTGATAGCACAACTATCGTTAGGCAAGAGATCAAACCATCCATCTCTCTGATGATTAGCGTGAGCAATGAAAAACAACATGGCCCATAGTTGTGTTTAAGTGGAACTATCTGGCGTAGCTGATAGCACAACTATCGTTAGGCAAGAGATCAAACCACCCATCTCTCTGATGATTAGCGCGAGTAATGAAAAACAACATGGCCCACAGTTGTGTTTAAGCGAACTATCTTACGCAACTAATGACACAACTGTCTTCATGCAAGAGATCCAACCATCCATGTTTCCGATGATAAGAGGAACGAAAAACACACACAGCTGTCACGTTTGACTGGAACTATCTGGCACAATTATCTTCATGCAAGAGATCCAACCATCCATCTTTCCGATGATAAGAGGAATAAAAAACATACACAGTCCACAGTTGGTTTGATCAGAAATCATCCAGCTAACATCAACTATACCTCTAAATTTTTCTGCATTTCTAGTGACTGCAGCCTGAATGTTGTAAAGCATTCAAGAAGGACTTGAAAGTGGCTACCAACGTCTTGTTCATGCTTCCTAACTTCTTCTGAACTGCCCTAGAATGAAACAAGCAAAAAACATGTGAAGATAACATTTTCATAAGTAACAGTTTTAAAGAGAAATCTAGGAAACATTCACAAAACACATCTTGTAGACATTTTTTAAAAAAACCATTTTGTGGCCAATAAATACTGTAAGAAAATTATTTTTTTTTTAAATTAGGTTTCACACTTATACGACATGAACAGTTTGGAAGTCCCCACAACAAAGTGGCACTCTGCTGGTCACTGGTTTGGCTCTGGACTGTTTAATTCATGAGTGAAGGTCAAACACGAATCCCTAGGGGTCGTCACCGAACGTATGGGGCACAGGCATTCAGTATCAGTAGCCGTCAGTTACACTGCAGAATGAACGATCTTTATTTTCAAAAGGGTAACAACAAGTGGGCAAGCAGGCCTGTCAGACGGTCCTTCTGGTTTCCCTCCTGTCATATACTACTTCATTTTGCAGACAGTGGTCTGAGTCATTTCAAAACTCTCCTGTGTGTGCAGTTACCTTCAAATTTGTCACCAAGGCATGCAGCTGTTGTTGGTAATGAAAGAGCTGATAGACTGGCAGGTGCTGCATTAATTGAAGATGGCTGGCCCATGGATAACAAGGACATTGTCATTGCCCTTAGAGAGATGGGGAGTTCTGAGGATTTTGAAAGCAACATTTCCACATCACTGCTAAGAATACAAGAACTGAGAGTAAAGATCGGCACAGCCAAGCATGAGAAGCACACCAGACGTAAATGAACTCTTGTTAACCAACATAATACTGGCACTATTAAAAGTGCGACGCTGATGAATATGTTGAGAGGGGAATCTAAGCGCCTATGGATGTGTCTGGAGTGCTGTGAAGATAATCTAACTCACAACTAATTTCATTTACACATCTTTTAAAAGGTAATATTTATTATAAACATCATCCACAACAACTAAATATTAATTACAAATACAGGGATAGGTTCAAATTACACTTTGATTTCTAATCAGTAATAATTCTTAGTCCCGGCAAGTCGGCGGGGGTAAAATAGGAGATAGGAAAAATAGGAGATGTTTTAGAAATAGGGAAAATAGAGGCCAGCAGAAGGTTAAGACCAGGGTAGAGACAATCAATATATGTGGATGGGGCAATAAAGAAGAACAAGTGATAGAATCAATGGAGAAATATAATGTTAAAGTATTAGGTTTATCAGAAGTGAGAATGAAATGACGAGGAATATAGAAACTACATAAAAATTATGTTTTGATACAATCGGGAGTAGAGGAAATGCAACGTGCAAAGCATGGAGTAGGATTTGTCATCAATCCTGAAACTGCAAAAAATAATCTTGAAGTTAACTACATCTCGGAAAGAATTATAAGTTTGAAATTACAAGTAGGAAATAGTTCGGAGGTGTTTTTTCAGATATATGCTCCGTACAATGGAAATTACAGTGAGGAGGATTTAGATCAATTCTTTGAGGAACTGTATGATGAAATTTGTAAGATAGATAATAACGAGAAACTGATCGTGATGGGTGATTTTAACGGTAAGACAGGACGAGACAGAAGAACATTTACAAGATACCTAGGCAGTTATGGAGACAACAGCATTAGAATTGAAAATGGCGAAAGACTGTTGGATATATGTGCACATGACCTTGTTATTACCAACACCTTTTGTCAACATAGAGCTTCACAAGTTTTTACATGATATAAATGGAATGATCCAGATACCAAGAGTCAGACTGATTACATCTTGACGAGAAAAAAAAGACTTTCATCAAGTTACAGATGCGAGAGTTATACCAAATTTGAGTTTAGATACAGATCATAGGATGGTGATCCTTGACAGAAAAATCAAGATAAGTTATCAAACAAAAAAGAAATGCAAAAATTACAGGAAAATTATGAACAGCTTCCACAAAACACTCTTGGGGTAAATACAGAATGGTTGGATTTCAGAGACATCACTATGAAAATAGCACAAGAAATATGTGGAACTAAAAGGAAAGGTAACATAAGGCGTAAGCTCTCAACATGGTGGTCTGAAGAAATAAGAAGAATTGTGAGCAGTAAAAAGAAAGCTTATGGCATTTGGTTGAGGAGCAGAACAGAAGAGGATTACATAACATACAGGATAATTAGAAGAGAGGTAAATAAAACTATCAGAAAAGCAAAAAGAGATTCATGGGAAAAGTTTGGAAGCAAGCTAGCTGAAGAAAAAAGAACAGCAGTGAAAAACTACTACAAAAAAATCAAAGGCATGAAAAACAGGAATGAAGAATACAACCCAACAGAAATTATAAATGATGAAGTTGGCCAACCTTTAATAGAACCTACCAAAATTTTAGCAAGGTGGAGTAATTACTTTGAAGCATTACTTAGCTGCAATAAAACAGATAAAAGCAGGGCAGAACATAAAAACAACTCGGAACTAACGGCAGAGGAACTAGAACCAGGTATGTTATTGGATGGAGTAAAATATGTCATTCAAACCGCCCCTAGACTAAAGGCGACAGGTATTGATGATCTACCAGCTGAGGCCATCAAGGCAGCAGGAGAAACGGGAGCAATATGGTTAAAGAGAATATTTTAGGTGGCATGGGAAAATCAAGAAACACCATCAGATTGGCAGACTGCTGTTCATTGTCCTGCTGTAGAAAAATAAAGGAAGTAAGAGGGAATGTACTAATTACAGAGCAATATCACTTCTTAGTCACACTGGGAAAATGTATGCTAAGATCCTCGAAAAAAGGCTGAGACCATTGATAGAGTATCAACTTTCAGAAGCACAGATGGGCTTTCGACGAAACAGAAGTTGCACAGATGCCATTTATACATTGAGACAACTATCAGAGAGGGCAATAGAACATGATAAGACATGTTTGTTGACATTCATAGACCAAGAAAAAGCCTTCGATAGAGTCGACAGGAATATGTTGTGGGAATGTATGGGGAAAAAAGGAATCAGCAATCATCTCATTAATTTTTGCAAAAGCCTGTACACACTTAGTGAATGCTGCATAAGATCAAAGGCATGGTTGTCAAGAACTTTTATAGTGAACTCTGGTGTGCGTCGGGGCTGTGTACTATCGCCGCTTCTTTTTATAACATTGATGGATACCATATGTAGTGAAACAAACTTTAATCAAGAAGAAGATATAACAGAATTACTTTTCGCCGATGACCCGGTACTCATAGCAGAAAATACGGAATGCTTACAGAACCACCTAAATCAAATTAGTAACAAAGGGGAGGAATATAATATGAAAATAAACACTACGAAGACAGAGACAATGATGATAGGAAGACATAAAGACAATTTAGAAATTAAATTAAAAAACACCATGAGACAAACAGAGGAATTTAAGTATTTGGGAGCAATTTTTACATCAGACGGAAAACTGGACAGAGAAATTAGCTCCAGATGTGCCAAAGCTAGTCAAGTAATTGAGCAACTATCTCCTATGTTGACACACAAGCAGATACCTCGGAGTACTAAAGTGAATCTTATCAGAACTATTTTTTTGGCCAACACTATGCTATCAGTGCCAAACATGGACACTTACACCCTCCAATGAACGTAAAATTGTGACAACAGAGATGAAATGCCTTAGAAGAGCTGCAGGAGTTTCATGGAAAGACAGAATACAAAATCATGAAATCAGACGAATGCTAGGAATAAAGCCAGTCTTACAGGTCATCAAAGAACAACAAATGAAATGGTTTGGACACCTAACAAGAATGCCCTGGTACTATCTGCCACAGCGAGCCACACTAAAACGTTACAACGGGTATAGAGCGAATGGAAGACCTCGGAAAAGATGGAGTGATGGCATTAAGAAAAGCCTTACAGAAATGAACATCAGTCTTATTAGTGCTCTTGACAGAGCTTATCAACGAACATTACATCTCCCCCCGACACTTCGATGAGGTACAAGGTGGAAGAGAAGAAGAAGAATAATTCTTAGTATAATAACAGTAATAAATTTAGGGGAAATATCCCATGTGCGTAACTCTTTCAGTCCCAGTGGGTTTAGTATCAGAGGCTCAATGGTGGTAAAGAGAAATGTATAATTGACACATCTTGCTTTCCCTGGTCTTCTATAAAAATATGATGGGTTCCTTGGGACTGAAAGAGTTAACAACTATTATCTTTTAAGGGGCCATGTATTATGCAATGAGATAACACTCCTCTCAACTGTTCAATGAACAATTTCAGAACTTAACTTTTCAATGATAAACCCTTCTTCTTGCTTGCCTTCACCACCCTGTCTGGGATGGCTGCAGAGTACCACAGAGGAAACTATGACTAGAGTATCTAAACTAATACAGCTACATGACAACTAGTCATAACCTGGAAAACTCACAGTGAATGTGCAGCCGAGGATCTTGAACTGACACTCTGCCGGTTTCTTTGGACATACAGCTTTGTGATCCTCCAACTGAAAGATGGAAACAATAACAGGTTTGTGTTAGCAAAATATTATTAAATTAAACTTACACAGAGATTTCCTTTTTATTCACTATGGGGGTCACAAAGAGCAAAGATAAAAGATTATAAAATTATAAATTCCCACTAACCAGCCTGCGTTTCATTTCTTGACCGCATAAGTAAGTGCAGCTGACCAGTGCCTCTGGACACTGTTCCAAGTCATGTTCCTGCGAAGACAAAATACTGATGCTTAAATAATTGGAAATAAACAGTAATTTTACAGTAAATTTTAAACAGTAATGAACAGTAAAACTGTAATAAACAGTAAGACATCATTCTACACTTATATCGGAACAGTAGGCATGATGAAGCTATCGTGCAATCTAAATCTCCCCAAACCATAATTTTGACAGAACATGCGTGAAATTTTCAGCAAACAGTAATGAACATGTGCAGGTAAATCTGTTTCCAATAATAAAAAAACATATGTTGGGAAAAAAAGTCTGTGTGCCCTGTCCTAGGTCTGAGATCTGGTGTGGGTAGACATCATTATTATGTCACTTGAAGAACATTGTCACTGTCACTCATGGCCAATCTATCTGCTTTTTCATTGCCTTCCAAGCCACAGTGACCTGCAATCCATTGCAGTAAAGATTGTTGCCTGTGTGAATCAGCGGTTGCTACAAGTTCAATTCTCAATGATACTTTGAGACTGCCTGAATCTGGGACATGAGTAGCAGTGAAGAAGAAGCGCAGTACCTTATTATACTTGATATTGTAATGAAGCCAGTTTTGCTTATACTATTATTGTTCAAACAACTTTCCAGCAGAACTTTTTCTGCCTAATATCCCCTGCAAAATATTTTTCCTTGGTCATCCCCAGATTTTACAGCTGGATGCTGTTCTTATCAAGACCAATTGTCAGTTCCCTGTTTGATGTTCAAATCTTTTTAAATGTCAGTATGTTTACTTGTTTTTGACAATGGTATTCAGAACTTTTGGATTGCTGTGGCCATAAATTGCACTCTTTTCTGATTCAAAAATATACAATACTCAAACAAAATTATGCTATTTTAAAACCCTTCAGGGACAAATTAAAGGCCAGAGCTGGCATGCCACTGATCACATCACCCATCACGTACTCTATGATCTATAAACATGTCGGTCTAGCACCAAATACCCTTGATGCCTCAAGAAACCACACACAAAAATAACAACAACAATCACAAATGAATAAATGATTCCTTACTTTAACTACAATAAAAGGCTTAACTTTCATTTTCAGAAAGTTATACAACTCAAGCACGCAGTTTCTAGGGCAACAATATGCCTCATTTGCACAACAGCAGATCAAAAACGCCGTCTGGGAGTTGCGACCACTCAAGGGGCTCGGTCGCACTGGAGAGTAATTTAAAAGCCATCCTCCAAAGAGTATTATGAATGTACGAGCAGGTTCTTATGTGACTCTCATGACAGTCTGCCTGAAAGAAACTCAGTCTCTTGCCAGCTCTCCCTCCTCGTGTACTTTCATATTCAAGGAGTCGCTTATATCCTGTGCCAATCGTCATGCTGGTCAGCCCTGCCCCTCCTTCCTGGTAGCATGACTTCTGCTATAATTTTTTCCAACAACCAATGAATGGGGATTTCTTTTATTGACTGGAAGCTTTATGGACATTCTTTTACTTATGGGAATTCCCCATTTTTATAATAGCTGTTTTCACCTATGTGTAAATGCCTGCCATGTGAATATAAAAATCCTTACTTTAACTACAATAAAAAAATGAAAGTCTACTGTACCAGTTTTCTAGGGCAACAAAAGCCCTATCAGCATTCAATCAAAAAAAGGAGTGCTACCCTCCGTTATTTCCAAACAATCTTCAATGAATGATGGTTTTAAAGTTTGTTGCCAACCTTTCTGCATTATAAAAGAAGTTAACTTTATGATAATCAACCCGGATTATGCACCAACAGGTAAGGCAAGTTAATGTAATCCACAATTATATGCACGACAGCCATGTGATCTGGTAGACAATGATCAGAGAAAAGGCTCCACGAACATACAACCACACTACAGCTGACACTTTAAGTGTTGGAATTTCGCACGGCCTGCTGAACATGGGAAAGCAGCGTAGGTGGGAATACTCCCCTAATGCTGTGCTGTCTGTTATTAAAACCTAAAATAGGGCGACAATTTATTTTTATAGGTCTGAAATTTTTTTCAAACCTCTAAAAGTATTGTGTTTTTTAAATGACAAATTGTCAGAAGTGACATAGTTTGCAGTGGGTAAATGGATTAAGAAAATAGACTAAATATTTATTCTATTGGTTTTTTTCTTGGGGTAAAAAAACTAAAAACTTTAAAGTAAGAGGATGCTAAAATTGCATTAGGCCTGTGTAGAGATTGACCTACATCTTTATTCTAGCACAATCCAAGAACTATGGACTACATAATATTATTTGTTTCCTTTTCTTCCAGGACAACATTGGTTTTACTACACAAACTATGGGCCATATTGCCTTTTTTGCGTATTTGTCTACCTATTTTGTAACGTGCTGCTCAGGAAAATGTGAATATTTTACGAAAGCCAATAGGGAAGAAAGAATGCCCCCCCCCCCCCCCCCCCCCCCAAATCAGATAAAAAATGTAAGATACTTATGATTAGTAGTAAGAGCTGGTGAAGCCATTAAACATCCCTTCCTCTAGCATCCCCTCCCCCACAATGCTAAAAATGGGGTAAGGCTCCATGGTAATTCCCGAAAGAAATGCTTCAAAAAAATTGCCTCAAAGAAAACTTTTACAAGGTCATAAATTTTCTTTTTGGGTTCATCGGCTAAAAACTTCGGCAGAAAGGTATGGCTGTTCATCCACAGAACAAGACTTCAGTCTTGTTTTAGAACCTAAGTATTGTGTGCACATCCATTTTACAGATCAGACTTATTTGTATGCAGACAGCTGGTTCCTTGCCTCTCAGGCAGATGCACTCCGGCTTCAAAGGAAGACTAAATAAACAAACTGCCCTTTAACAAGTGTGTCAAAAAAGATTGACTAATTAGGATTTTTCAGAAAATGGATGTGTTAGGCCGAAAGACAGACAGAGGTAAACCCCAACACAATGTGCTAATCACCCTTTTAGAGGTGAATACAGTAGAACAAACGAAGAATAAAAAGAATATAAAAAGAAAAAGAAAATATTGGTGAATGAATTCTTCTTCCTTTCGTTCATCTGAGTGACATAATATTATGCCAGTTTACAACAAAGCTGCAATATGTCTTCTTTTTCTTTCGTTCACCTGAAATAAGTTGTCTATATCAGCAATTTTGCCTCTTTTATAAATTTCACTGTCGTTAGTTCATTCAGTGGTCCATAGAGTTTATGTTCCACTGTTGTTCTTTCTGGCCAAAAGGTTTGCCTTAATGTGTCTAATTCGGTGCAGTCCTGGAGTACCTGCTCTGCTGTCTGGGGCACCTTTCCACAGGTGTACATGTGGTTACGTAATCAGTTGTGTCCTGTTCTGAGGGGGAGGATAATAACTTGTTCTGATCTGTCCATAATAAAATAGTCGTCTTGTGCTGGGGCTGGTGGTTTCCTGATCGATTTAATGATTCTTTTCTTTTGGTGGTATGTGACTGGTACATCCGACTGCACTTGTGTCGCACCTTCCCCTGCCAGTTGATCAGCTTTCTCATTTCCAGGCACTCCACAATACAATATGTACCCCTTTCAGCCTAAACATCTGACTTCCCCAAGTATTTGCTAACTGGATAAACTTCCCAGAGTTTTGTGGGACGTGCCTTATTTGTGTAATGTTCTCTTTGTCCCCTTATCTACAGGTGTTGCTCCTGGAGAACCCATCAAGGGCGACCCCGTGTGGACTGGTCAACCTTCAAGAGAAGGTTGCGCAGGTTGTGCTCTGACGATTCTGACTTCTTTGATAAATCAGTTGAACTTCTTGAATTCTTCCGTGCCCGTTTCTATCCGGAACACATTTTACAAGGGGCTCTAAACAAAGTTTTAGCAATCACCAGGAGAGATGCTTTTCCTACAAAACGTAACTCCACCAATGATGGACCTAAATTGATCTTGACTTTTCACCCTAACAATGTGGTTGCTTCCAAAGTATTCTTTCGTCATTTGGACATCCTCCGCTCTGATCCGGACACCAAGACTATCTTTAGTGAGAAACCTAGATTAGTTTACAGACGAGATCGCAACCTTAAAGACATACTTGTCCGAAGCCGACTCCCACCGATCCACACAGCACTTCCTCTTGGGACTACTCAGTGCTCACGCAGCACCTGCAAAACATGTCCTTTCGTTGTCCAAACTTCTTCGGTCAGTTTCCCTAATGGTTCTTTTCAAATTAGGGAACCTTTTACTTGCGAATCCCGCAACGTAATTTATGCAATTATCTGCAAACGATGCAGCAAGGCATACATTGGGGAGACTGGCAGGAAGCTAGCTGATCGTTTCCAGGAACACCTCTCTGATATCGACAAAAAGACACTCAAACCAATCCCTCTTCATTTCAATAGCCCTGACCACAGCGGTAAAGATGACATATCTGTCACAGCATTTAAATCTTGCTCTGGCGATCATACTACCCGCCTCGCTTTGGAAAATCGCCTTATCCACAGCCTTGGCGTTCTTAGTCCAAGAGGTATCAATATCCAACATACCTTCATCTAAATAGTTCTAATCTTATCAAATTTTAAATGTTAATTATTTTATTTTATATTATTACCATATTCTATTTCTTATCAATATCATTTATGTATCATTAACACTTGCATTTCTTTTATTCCCAGTATTGTGACTATATTTTTTAGCCATCGTTTATTTTATTTTATTTCATTTATTCCGCCTCACATTTTTTTAAACGTCACTCACGTCACCCCTTAGAGATCTACATACTCTCCATTCCTCGTTTGTGTATTTCACTTGTGTTTGAAAAAGGCTGCCCGGCCGAAACGTTACGTTGTTTTGTGCACGTTTTCCTCTTTCCCATTTTGTTGAGCTTTTTAGTCAAATTTCTCTTGAATTCATTGTATTAGCTTGACTGCAGTCACCCCCATATTTTCACCACTTCAAGAGAAGGCAAGTGCAGATTACGGGTATTCCCCGCCATCCAAGGAGGCTTGCAGATGATGCTCTGGCCCTGATTTCACTCAAGGAATCGTCAAATCCTGTACATGGCTGCTTAACTTCACATCCATTTGCTGAGCTTCTCACGCATCACAGGCTGTGCCCTCTGGAGATCAGCAGGGAGCAGCCTGCAGGTCTGGGACTTGGAAGACCACACAGGTACATTTGTATTCAGCACATTAGACATCTTTAAAGTTGTTTCATCGGGACACACAGAACAACAGTATGGAAAAAGCTTGCATCAGGCATCCCTAACACACGATGAGGATGTGTGGCAGGAGTCTTGCATGAGGACCCATAAAACCAGCAACAGAGCCAGCTGGAGGCCTAGACGAGGTATGAAGTATTTTATTATACACATCATAACAACCTTAACTTTCCCTCTCGCCTGTAACCGAAATCACCGTGTCATGTTTTCTGGATTCTATTATGAATAAAATGTCAATTCAATAATTTTATGTAATCAAATTAATTCTTTTCTCTAAATTTCAAGTTCCAGAATTAAGATACGTCTTATACATAGCATCATCTTATAGTTAGGGAAAATACAGCAGTTTTTCTCATAAGCCCTGTAGATTTTCATGGAACATTTCAAACCGCTACCAAAATCAAAATTGCAGGCACCAAATGTGTATACCAAGAAGTACGTATAACAACAGCCTGCCTAGAAAACAGCACTAGTAAGCCCAGCACATATTCATAGAAAAACAAACTATTATCTAGAGGCACCAGATACCCATACTGAGATGTAAGTATACCAACAGCCAGCTTTCCTAGAAATTCGGTTTTCTCATAAGCCCAATAAATTGTCATGTAAACATTTCAAACCATTATCAGGCCATCCTCCTTATAACGGTCGCAAAATATACCCTAACAGGACCTCAGTCACATATAAATTGCGGACCTCTTCTGGCGACTACACAGCATACCGCGAAAAAGCTTCCGCTGAGTTAAAGTCACTGCTGAGAGTATCTCCCTCGCTGCTACGCGAAGCGGGGCTAAACTAGATGGCTGGGACTCACGATCAGCAGCTACCGCATCTCCTGCTTCCTCCATTTTATTTGCTCAAGAGTCCCAGCCATCTAGTTTAGCCCCGCTCCGCGCGTGGGAGATACTTTTGGCGGAATACTGTGTAGTCACCGGAAGAGGTCCGCAATTTACATGTGACTGAGGCTCTGTTAGGGTATATTTTCGGCCTCGATAATTTGGGACCGTTATTCAGAGGGTAGCCCATTATCAAAATGAGACCAAGTTATCAATACCAGATATTCAATCATTATCTCTCATCTTACCAATTCTTTATTATGTAAGCAAATGACATCAGCTTTCAATAAAGTTCCATGATACAGAGGAAAGATTGCAGACAACGGGTAAAATTACTTACCATCCTGGTAGGGGCACCATGTGTGGACTAGGAAGCAAAGATGATGACGCAACAATGAGGCTGTATGATGTCCTACGAATCTAACTAAGAAGGCTAATCATGTAAAACAAATGACATTAATATCACAACTATGGTGTAAAATGGCACAATGCAATTATGTCCCTGGATGACCGCAGAAGAAAAAGAATAAGATAACAAAGACTTTGCAAAAATAAGCTGATCATGCCAATACTTTTGTGTGTGTGTGTGGGTAAATGAATTAAACAAACAAAAGACGTACCTGTTTAGAGTTAAAACTGAACTCTGAGCCGCACTGTTCACAAATTATAGGCCGGTAACCACACTCCTTAAGATGAAGCTCCACATCTTTAAACTTGATTAGCTCTCTACATCCTCGTGGGGAGTTGATGCACTGCACCTCTCGGTGCACACATTCCTTCACATGTCTCTGCAAGAATAAACGTGATAAAGGGGGAGTTTTCACAAGGCTTGTCGCATAACAGTGTTTACGTAGCATATCTCATTGTTGATTTACACTGAGAACTGACATCACATCACATAAGACATTCCAATAAGCAGCCACTGTATTTCACATGGAAAAAAACAATCAAATTTAAGGAATTTTGAGATTTGCAATTAAACTAAGCAAAGTTGTTGAAAGAAACAAAAATAGACAAGTTAAACATTATGGCCACATAAAAGACATGTCTTATAAAAATAATTCTGGGGAGGAAACAATCAATGCAGATGTGCAAGAGGTGAACAGACTGCAGGTCGTCAGCCTGAAGTGGGTGGCAGAAATGTTATGGTAAGCAAAGGTGGCCAGTGTGATAACAACCACATTATCTATCAAGTGTCAAGGCTTTTGTACAGTGGTATGAGAATCACACTGAGATACTGAGTCCTCAATATGTAAAATACATAAAAACACAGCAGTGGGATCTGAGGTCCCATTGTGGAGAAAACAAGAACAGACCCACTGCCTCCCAACAAGCATGTTGCAGGAGTTGACTAACTGGGTACATCCTTCGAAGTCAGATTGCATCTGCCATTCGGGCAACCGTTTGTCAAATGTTTATCAGCTTATATGTTCCACTGATGTGCCTTGAGTGGGTGCCGGGTGCAGTCCCAGGAAGTAATGGCGGCCGGCGTGATGCTGACCACATCACCCATCTTGTGCCGATTGGTCTATAAAAATATAGGTCTAGCCCTATACACCTAAAGGCGTGGAAAAGGGACCTTTACTTTACTAAAGTGCAAAAGGTACAAATTATCTAATTATGCAACAGCCAGACAGGTGATGTTTGACAGTCTTCTATAAATATCTAGTCGACAGACCCCAGTGTGAGCTCTGGATGCAGTCAGTCTGGGTGCATGGATAAGTGATAACTATGTTTTTGAAATGCACCTCCTAGGTAACTTTGCCTAAAGCTGGCAGTGGAAATGTCCTGGTAACCAAAAGTAGCCAGTGTGACATTGTCGACATCCCATAAGTGGAAAACCAGTCCCTCACTTTATATTTATCTCATATTATACATAGGGCAAGAGCCTTTGCAAATAAAGCCTACATGCTTGTTAATAGCACACACAGTGGTATATCCTACTAAAAGCGTTCGTGACTCAAGGTACCATTGTACATAAGACCTCTGAAGGGAACTCATAGACAACAGACACAAAGTAAAGAGCAAACACCCTTTTTTTACACCAGTGATTCACAGGGTTTATGACGCCAGGCTCATATTTTATATAGACCAGTTTGGTGGGGGATGTGACCAACATCATGCGGACTGCCTTTACAATGCCAGGACATGGCCTGATACCCATTTTAGACTGCGCCAATTTCAACATAAAAAAATCTGTCTAGAAGGCCCCTGTACAAACCAAACCATAGCGCTAATCTTCATGGCGCTTAGAAGGGCGAAAGTCAGACGGGCCTGCGTGCCCAATTTGTAACCCTTTGAAAATAAAGTTTGTTCGTTCGATTGACCTACCTCCAGGTTACTAAACCGGAGCTGCTCCACACAGCCCTCATGGACACAATACACTAGAAGTTGTTTCATTTCTCTGCGAAAGCCAGGATCAGGGAAGATCTGTGCAGACATATACATTTTGTTTTTTTTAAACGAATGCATTTTCTATTGCCAAAAATGCTAATGAATAGAGCACACACATCTCTGCATGGACTGGGTTGTGAAATTTCTGGCTGTTCATCCACTTCTGGACTTTAGTATGGTTCCAGAACTTGAGCTCTGCCTTCACAATCATTTTATAGACCTGGCTTATTTTCAAGCAGATGCACATTAACTTTGATAGAAACACTCCTAATTAGTTGACTCTTACGACATGCTTGCTTTTACAATAAAAAATGGGGCAGATCCTACATAAATAAAAATGGATAAAAAAAGTTTTTTTAAATAAAGCATATGGCTTTTACATTCATATGTTTTATTTATTTTTAATTTCTTTTTATTATACTGTTATCTGACCTATTTTTTATTTCTATGTAACCTCCCTTTGACCATGACCTCTCAGTTTTGTTTCTCTGTGTGTGTGTCACTTCCTGTCACCAGTTGATGTCTAGTAAAGCATGCCAGCCAGCTTCTGTATGTATCATTGCTGGTGTATGGATATTTTGAGCTTGCTTGTAATTCGCAGTAATTGCACTGCAGTATGTATCCAGGGCCGTGCCATGCTAAGATACAGAGAGGCGGCCACAAAAGGCGACACCGTAAGGGGGATGGGGTGGGGCATAAGCAGCAAAATCAAAATACAGTTTGAAGTTTTGATGTGACTGCAGGAAGCTATTAAGGGCTGCATTTCAAAGACTTGCATCATACTGAGTAAATCTAGCCCAGGGGATTGTATGTATCATGTGTGTGTGTGTGTGCATGTGTATTTATATATATATATATATTGGTTTACATGTGTCAGTGTGTGTGTATGTATATTTGTATATATATATTGGTTTACATGTGTGAGTAAATCTAGCCCAGGGGATTGTATGTATCATGTGTGTGTGTGTGTGTGCATGTGTATTTATAGATATATATATTGGTTTACATGTGTCAGTGTGTGTGTATGTGTATTTGTATATATATATATATTGGTTTACATGTGTGGGTATGTGTGTATAGTGCAGACCGTTTAAGGTGATCTTGGAAGGGCCAAATTTCTGTTGTGAGGAACAATTTTTTTATCCCAGGCAATTTGTCTAGCTTGAACTCTTATCTGGATAAGAGGAATTTAATGTCCCAAAATATTTCAATTGTTGTTTTTTTTTTTTAAATTTTTTTCAGTAACTCTTTTTTTCATTCACAGTCTCTCATGTATCTATAAATAACCACTATGATTATACTTATCATGATGATACTGATAACAATGAAGATACTGACATTGATGACAAAACTGGCGATGATGAAGCTATTGATAATGATGATGACATTGGCAATGATGATACTGACGATGATGTTGACATTGGCAATGATGATACTGACGATGATGATGATAATGATAAACTAAAATATGCACATAAATTACAAAAGAATATTTCTCATACATTGTCTCTGGTAACTTGCTCACAGTCCTCGTCATCAGCCGGACATTTCTTGGATGTTTCACCCCCCAAGTAGAGGTCCACGCAGCTCTGGCACATCCTGTGTCCACAAGCTGTCTGCACCGGATCCCTGAGCAGCTTGTGCTCACGATTATGAAGAATGCACACTGGGCACTCATACTTGGAATCTGGATTCACTAACCTAGGATCTTCATCCTGACCATAATAGATGTGAAATTTAAGAACATCAACCCATGAGAACATCATTCATTAAACACAGGCAACATATAAAACTGTCTGTTACTGCCTTTTGTCTTCTCATGGGAGTTCCAGGGTCCCATTTTGGGAGGGTACAAAGAACAGATCCACCGCTTCTTAAACACGAATGTCATAAATGGTTACTTTTAAGGATTTACTGAAGTGGGAATTTTGAGCTTAAAGGACGCAGCTGAGGCAATTTTAAGGGTGAATGCATAAGACGAAGTAGAAGAAAAAAAAATGAGCAACAAGAATAAATACTGCCCTTTGATTTGTGTCTTCTTCTTCTTCTTCTCCAGCTGTAAAGGTTTGGTCATTCAGTACCATTTCTGGACTTGAAAGTTGTGTTTCAGAACTTGGGTACTGCATGCACATACCTTTTACAGATCTGGCTTATTTGTGCGCACACTGTAGGTTCCTTGCCTCTCAGGCAGATGCCATTTGACTTCAAAATAAGCTCCCAATAAGTCAACTCTTATGACTTGCTTGTTGTGAAGACAGTGGGTCTATTCTGTTTCCCTTCCCCGCAATGGAGTCCCAGAACCCACACATGGAATTTGTGACGAGAAGTACAAGTATTTTGGTCTGAGGATTAAGGGCTGCATGGCTAATGCCCTCATCACAAACTGTAAAGGCATCAAATTTATTTTTGCTCCAGACAGAAAAAAAACCCCAACATCTATCAAGGATTCGAACTCTTGATCTCTCGATGAGAGTATAACAGATTAACTGCTAAGCAAGAGCCTCTCAGAAAAGGGCAACAAATGAAGATTTGCAATTTAAGTTAGGGAAAACTAACAGGGACATTTTACATAAGAACAGCAGTGTAATAGGGATTCTGTGTGTCACCCCTTCATTCTTACTTACTATACACTGGCTTATGAGAATATTACCCACTCAGGAATTTAAATGCACCCCGACAGAGCAGTTCAATGATCAGAACTTTGCTGACAAGAATGGCCTCCTACCCTATTCATGATATAAAATGCAAGATAAACTATACACATTTAATTACTGTTGAGGAAAGAACTGACATCACAGCACTGGGGTCATTCCCATATGTGCTCTGTCCTTAACTACAGCAGCCAACAGACAGTTCTGATTCCGATGGTGCCAGCAGCAGTTTGATTATACGTTTGTCTTTCTTTTCCTCTTGAGTGCAGAGTGTCGACTAGATCCCCTGGTCATTCCTAGCTCTATCATTCTCTCCAGACCATAATGACCTATTCATAAACACATTTGATGAGATGTTTCAACAATCATGTCTAAACATTCACAGGTAAAAGACACTGAAAAGAAGCAGAAGAGGACATTCTGCAGAAGTAACCTGAAGAGACAAAAATCAGATTGAAGTCACAAGAGAAGAAGGTACAGAAATACTACTATTTACAATGCAAATTACCAAGGAAACGTCTCAAGTTTACCTTCTCCTACATGACTTTCTCATTTGTGGTTGTGGTTTAGGAACTATTTTTTTTTATATTTTATTGAAAATACTTAGGTCATGACATTCTGTTCTCTATTCCCTTTCCATGAATTCACAGATCCACTCACAAGGGATATTTTTCACATCTGTTTTCAAAGATCCAGGCACAAGTGATTATATTTTTCACATTTGTTTTCAAGGACCCAATCATTAGTGACCATTTTTTTACAATTATTTTCAGGTCTAGTCACAATTGAATATTTTACAGATTTGAATTCACAGATCAACTCAAAATTTAGTATTTTTCACATCTGTATTAACCAGTCCATAGCCAATAGCCATAACAATAGCCAGTGGCAGCCAGAGTGCACTGGATCACAAACTATTCCTCCCCACGATGCTTAACGGCAGAAATGATTTATGATGATGATTCACCAACCCATCAAAACTTATTTCAAACGCACTTACAGTGAGGAGCGGTTGGCCGAATGATTAAGAACACTGGGCTCTCATATGAGTTCATACCCAGGTTCAAATCCTCAATAAGGCTGTGGTTTTTTTCTGCCAGAGACAAAAGTAAAATCCTCACTAGCCAGCAGCCCTAAATTCTCAAGCTAAAGAACCCCTCCCCTTTTGGCCTACACAGCAAAAGTGGCAAATACAGGCAGTAATGGCCATTTGGGGGGGGGGGGGGGGGGGGGGCCATTCACAGATCCACTAACAAGCAAATATGTTTCATAGATGTACTCACAGCTTCACTCACCAGTAAACCAGAAGAAAGTGACGGGAAAGTGCCAGAGTTGGGTCCACTTCCTGTACCTGCTTGTTCTGAGTAAAATGGGTAGCTGTCCCCTACTGTATCGCCAAATTTTGGAGGCTCAAAGCTGGCGCCCGCTTCAGCACCATCGGACATCCTTTAGGTAATTTTATTTCACTGTTGGCAAGCAAAGAGTAGAGTATAACTATCAAGTTCCCCATGTGGGTTCCGGAGCCCTTTTGTAGGGAAAACAAGAATAGACCCACTGCCTACCCAAAAGCATGTCGTAAGAGTTGACTAATTGGGAGCTTCCTTCAAAGTCGATTTCATCTGCCTGAGAGGCAAGGAACCAGCAGTCTGCATTTAAAATAATCAGATCTGTAAAACGGATGCACACGCAAAACTCAGGTTCCGGATCAGGACTGCAGTCCAGAAGTAGACAAACAACCAGAACTTTCTACCGGAGTTTACAGCTGGTCAATGCAAAGAAGAAGAAGAAGAAGAAGACTATCAAGTAAAGTTATAGAAAGTGAAAGTGACAAGACAGATATACAATGAAACAACACCACAACTAATGATGTAAAGTAAGAAAAGGATCCTTTTTCCACACCTTCAGACCTATTGGTGCTAGACCTATATTTTATAGACCAATTGGCACCCGATGGGTGATATGGTCAGCTTCACGCCAGCCTCCTTTACTTTCCATGACTTTTACATAGTACCCATTTGAGGCTGAGTTGATCTGGGAGCCAAGGTCAGTTCTGAAAAGTCCAGATCCACTAGATTAATGGTATGATCTTCATTAACTCATACTTCTTCTGCACTTTATGCCCCCAGTGAAGCATAAGCCAACTCAGACCAAGTTGTTCTGTCTTTTGCTATCACATGCATCTCACTCCATGTCCTCACCATCTTATTTATTTTTAATTCACTCACTAATTCCCTTTTCCATGTTTTTTAGTTTGCCTTGGTTAGGTTCACGTAAATCTCCCCAAACAAAGTAGGTCACTTTTCATTCACAAGTTTGTTGGGCTGGTTGACTGGTCTCGCTCTTTTGTTTGCTTTCTGCATTGTCTTGCATTTAAGTTTTCATTCCGAGAAAGAGAATGCCTGTGACATAGGTTGCAGCACTCTCTAGAAGGGTTGTGTTAGGGCAAGTTTATCCATGTTTTTGGAGTGTTAAAAACGCTGGCGTGCTGAAATATACTACACGCATTATCAACCTCACCGTGGAATGCCCCGGTAACCTTGTGAAGGTTTAGAAACTACTACTTAAAAGTGACTTAGTCTGTATATGGATAGGGCGTGGGGAGACTAACATTACTTTAACCTCTACCTGTATTCCTTTAACCCTGTGGGTTATATACAGCACGAGGACACACTAGTTATATTGTTATCAGGATTTCTTGATGAGTGTCCCAACCAATGCCAGCATTTTTTCCTCACATTTTGATACACTGGAATGTTTAAGCTTCTCTCTCAAAGCTCAAGTTTACACAACTCTCCAACCAATGTAGAGAAAGAAATGTCAATAATCTAAACATTTACTTTTGCATTCTCGGTGTAGGAAAACATGACTGCCTATGTCAAGTGCCAAGACACTTGATGATGATGATGTAAAAGTAAACTGATTAAAGCGACGTGCTCAAAGAAAATGCTAACCACCGTACTATGATTTATTAACCTTATCTAAATCTAATAGCATATTCCTTATAAGACGTGAACGATGAGTGTTGCATATTTAAATACATTTTGAAAGACCCATACTGATGCTATCCATGAATGCATATGTAGAAAAGACATGACGTTCTATCGATAAAATAAACAAATAATACACATTTTTTTTAAATATTTACTGACATCTGGGGTAATGTTATCAGTTTCAGTCTCTCCCTCTCTTTTTTTTCACACACACTGAAGTATTTATCATGATTTGTGCTTAAATAAAATAATCAATGGTACGCATTTGGCAGTAGTTGGGGTTGAATATCTCAGAATTCTATAACATGAATGTAATTAACCAGTCAATAATTCAGAAAGACTAGTCCTAGTGTAGTAAACAAATGTTGGCTATTAGTTATAAGTATCGTCTGAGAGGCATAAATACTGCTATTACACTGACGACAGACACTACACCAAATAATATTAAAAACCATAAACACAGAGAAGAAAAGGTGGATGAAATGGAATAGGATTTGGGGGGGAGGGGAACAAAGGAAGAAGATAGAAAGATAGAAGAAGAAAAAAGAAGGTGAGGAAGAATGACACAGGGGAAAGGACAGAGTAGAAAGGTGAGGGGATGAGAAGGAGAAAAGAGGGAAGGAAAGGATAGGGAAGACAGGAGCAGCAGAGAGTGGGGGGGGGGGAAGAAAGGTATTAAAGAACAAATAAAAGCAGCAGTAATAGTAACAGTAGCAGTAATTTTTGCGGTTTTAGTCAAAATACTTTCAAAGTCATTAGTGTCAGACACCTGAATAAGTGTGCGAAAAGTTTATATCAGTGATTTAATACCTAAATACCTATAGGATTGAAGAAATGGTAACACAGGTTAGAATTCTACAACTGCATCTTTTTAAGTCACAGAGCATTCATATTCATAATTATCCAGTCTTTTCAAATTCTACAAGACAAGCCTTTAAACAGTATGTATTGAGAATGTAGCTTATGGGAATGTAAGTAACTGCACTTTAGGGAACAGGATTATTCAACTATTCAACTAAGCTTATTCAGGGGCCAAAATCTGGGAAATGAGGATCGTCACGGGCCAGAGGCCGGAACCTCAGCAAAGAAAGATCATTAATACAGTACAACTGGCAGTGATATAGGGGTCACTTGCTAGATTTGGCCCACGTGCCCCCAGCTGAATAGCCCTGCTTTAGAGAGGGTAATAACTTCTTTTTGAGCAAAGAATCTATACTGAAATTAATTTACTTTACACTTTAAGAAATAATAAGGAGTACAGGATATAGAATATACCTTATGTCTCGCTTGGGAAAAGAATATCGCAAATTTTAGGTTACCATTCTGTTTGCATAGGGATGTATAATAGTTCTTTGTTAGTTGTATATCTTTAATTATGGAAAATTTATTTCCTAATTGTTGATTCCAGAAACATTTATAAAACTCATAATCAGTATTCCTAAAACTAGCGCTTACTGATTAAACTATCTAGCTACTTCTAGGCAGGGAACATATACTATATACGTATAAAATTGAATTTATTAGTCTAATAATTAGAATAATGTACATAAACAGTTCACTACATAAAGAAAAGAAGTTGGGAGAAACTAGAATTAAACTACACAACAGATCAAAGGGTTTGGACTGTGTCAGGAATACCACCAGGCAGTGCATCATTCACAGAGAGCCCTGTAACTCGGACATGATCATAATGTAAGTAATATTAATATTGGAAGCAACCCAGAGGTGAACCACCACACCAAACAATAGACAGAACAGATTATTATTGAATTTCAGAGGCTGGAAAGGCTGCTCTACGTAGCACACAGGTTCTCACCGGATAACTGCTCTCAAAACCTGAAGCTGACAGGCAACAAAGGACTAGAGAAGACATTGAACTAGGCGAAACTACAAATGGCCTTAACATTGTACGATTTACGCAGTGCTGGAAACTCGAAACTCAGCTTGAGCTTCTGGGAAAACCGGACAATTTTAGAGTTTGGTTGTTGTTGTCTATTTATTCCACTACTTTTAAACGAGTTTTTTTTTTTTTTTTTTTTTTTTTACTTACATTTATTAAAAAAACATTAGTTGTGGTTGTCTTAATAATTACACTATTGTCTATAAAGCAAATCGAGAGAGCAGGGTAGGTAGACTGGTAGACAGTTCTGGAGTTTGAACTTGTGTGACTGGCCATGCCACACACAGTGCACACACACACACACAAACGACAGCCATCCATTATCAGACTAGGACATATAATAATCAGGAGGTTACTCGTTCACAACCAACGGCGTGTTTCTATTTTATCGAGGAATCTGTAATTTTAATCTAATATACGTTTAAAAGAAAAAAGTGATGCCCTGTGGACTGTTAGTGAGAATGGTTTGAACCTCAGTAATTGATCAAAAAACAGTAAAATACGTCACCACTAGCAAACGGATTCCCTTACAGAGTGTGTACAAGTACTGTGCAATGTACAACAGAAGTGGGTCTGTGAAAAATTACTACTAATTGTTGGGGCCCTAATTCTAAGCAGAGGCTCACCTAGAAAAGTAATTTGCATATCCTTTACATAGATATTGCAAATCAACCTAATAATTTTCTATGGTTTCACTAGATAATTTCACACTCAGTAATTTGCTCTTGTACTAGACTGTCGTCATTCTATTCTGTTGTTAACATCGACGCAAACTGGTCTACAACTGGAGGTCAAAAAGAAACGAAATAAATAAATGCAGTAAATGTAATCTCTGAAGTTATTTATTCGGGAAAAAAGTAAAATAAATTATTAAGGGTAATCAATACAGAACTTTTAATAACTTTTAGAAAGACATACAGTGAATATTATTTTTTTTTTTTAAACATTATCGTCAATTACCAAGTCTTTTTCTTTACATAACGTTGACTCGTCACGACCTGCCTGAAAATCTCTCTCTAGCCACTTCTCCAGCCCTATGTGCTTTCAGTCCACATTCGCGGTGGTCTGCTTCTGCCTTATTTTCCGGAAACTGCACCATCCATCATCTTTCTTTTTTAGGCCACCATGACGTTTAACGTGGCAAAAATTGCTTACATTTTTTTCATGACCGGATTTTGTTTATGAGCAAGCTCAGATCATGTAGGATGTCAGTGATTTTCGTCTTCTCTGTCATTTCAGTGTCACGGGATATTCAGTGGTGAGCTAAGAACTGATATCACAGCACTTGGGATATTTCCATAAGCGCTCAGTCCTAATCTCCAGCAGCCAGCGAAGAGTTCCAATTATGATGGTGCCAGTAGCAGTTTGATTATATGTCCGTGATGCCCGTGTGTGTGTAGGCCTATATATATATATACGTGTATGTATATGTATATGTATGTATAGTTATATATATATATATATATATATATATATATATATATATATATATATATATATATATATATATATATATATATGGTAGTCTCCCCTTGTCAGGTGTCGCCTTTCCTGT